TCCTGTGGCTATGATTCTGATAGCGGTGAGTGTGCTTCAGTTAGAATACCTAATTGTTGGTTACAGTCACTGTTCCGCCTTCCACACTGGATTCTCAGATCAAAGGATGTTGGGTGGGGAGGCTGCCGACAACCCATCCATTGAGCGGATTTTGGCCTGTTCATCTGGAATTTGCTCTGTGCATGACCAGCTAGAGACTATATAGGTATGAAATGATTGCTTGGCCAAATTGGGAAACCATCATATATGGACTTGTGACCTGCAGAGACGTTCCTGGACTCTTCTATCTCTGGGGTCAATCGGAAAGATGAATAGGCACTCATTTTTGGACTTTCCCTTTCTAAAGTCATGGCCATTTATTTCTTGTAAGCCAGATAAGACCAGAAGGATACTATAAATCGGGGGTCCCTAAATGGCGGACTGTGGTCTGGACACAGATCGAGTGGCGGTTCTGTCCAGACCGCAATCGGCAACTTGCACTGGGTTATGGCTGGCTGACGGTAGATACACCAGCCTTTGAGGCCGGTGCATCCATGGCCAGTCATAACCCAGTGCAGCATCCCTCTGCTTCAGTCATTGGTTGCTAGGACCGCTGGTGATTTTCTGGGGGCCCAGTTCCATGGCAGATGGTGTCAGAATGGAGAGTGGGAGCAGACTGAGGAATGTCCATTCCAAGCCCTGGTTCACACCTAGGTGTTTTTGAGCAGTTTGAAAATTAACTGCCCAACACAAGAAATCCCATGATCTTCAATGGCCCTGGTTCACACCTGAGCAGAAAGACACCAGAAGAGATATAGGAGCTTCTTTGGGCAGTTTAAAAGCACTTTTCCTCCCCAGAGGCTTGATTGGAAATGGCCAGAAACGCGCAACAGAAGCATGTTGCACGTTTTTGCACGTTCTTCCATTGCTCACAATGATTTATGAGCTGCCAATCAAGATGCGCGTCTTCATGTTAAAACGCGCATACAAATGTGCACAAAGCGCATAAACATGCAAATAACATGCTGATAACACGCAAAAACAGTGCCACCTCGGTGTGAGCCAGGGCTCAATCTGCTCTGTGATCAATGAGAACACAAAAAAAGATAAAGCGCAATCCTGTGGGCAAACTTCAATGGGATGGCTGATGTTAGTAGGTGTGCAAAGCTCCTCACTACAGGGAGAGGACCCTGTCTATTCGTAACTGCAGTTTTGAGGCTTGAAAAAGAGGTTAACCCTCGAAACGCGTAGCCAGCCACTGGAGACACCCGACAGTCACAGACTTTGCGATCCACCCCGGCGCACGGCGTTCCCCAGCCGGGTATAGCTCCTCCCACTCTTTATCCGTTCCTGACCGACGCGGTCCGGCCAGCCAAGAACGCGGGCGGCCATACTGACACGCACCCCCAACAGACCAACCTCTCATACCACCAGGGACACCACCGGGTCTCGGCGACCCAGGATCTGTCTAATGAGGGCGCCGCACAGACCGCAGAGAAGCTTCCAACTGTAAGTCGGCTTGCTTTAACAGTACGGCATACACCCAGTTCTTACACACCAAGATCCACCATCTTCCCCCATCGCATAGATCTACTAGATCCACTCCGTTCACGTCACTCCTGGTAGTTGCGCTCCTGTCCTTTGAGTTTTTATCTGTGATCAATGAAGCACTGTGCTTCCTGCTTTAGACCTGTCAGAAGCCGGCTGAAGCGCCGATTACACAGGTGATCAAGCACATTCCCATGCTTGATTGTATTGGAGGGCAGGAGAGACATTAGAGGTCTAATAAACTCCTGATGTCTCCATAAAGAGACCCTATCACCTCCAAATGCTGTCATTTCACATATGCAGAGAAGGACTCTTCTCTGCATATGTGAAAACTAGAGTCCTCCCGTTACCCTAAGCTCAGTATACCGCGAGCTACAGCTCGCGGTATACTGAGACGCCGCAGTCGGAGCGGATCCCGATGCAGATGATGGGATCCTCCCAGCTGCGTGAGTGACAGCTGGCTCTGCCTATCTAGAGGCAGAGCCAGCTGTACCTGCCCCCTCCCCCGTCAGTTCTGCCAGTCAGCGCTGGCAGATCGGAGCGGGGAGAGGGGAATCCAGCCCCTCCCCCTGTCACGGCAGAGAGCCGTGACAGGATCGAGAGGTGAGCGAACCTGGTATGTGTTCGCTCACCTCCTGATCTACTGAGCCGACCTGTGACAGTCTCATTGTCACAGGTCGGCTAGAACTATGAGGTGAGTGGAAATCACTCATCTCATAGTTCTCCTTTAAAAGGGAAAAATCAGGGGTCTGTTTAGATCCCTAATATTTCCCAGAAGACCCTAAAAGTAATGTAAAAAATTAATAAATAAAAATGGCGTTAAATGTCTGCCCCGGGCGCCCATAACTCTGGTTACACCACTGCAGTAGGGACATGGACTGAGTAACATTGTCATCAAGCAGAGGTCTAAATTCAATCACTGTCCCACCATGAATTTGAATTCCCTACCCCTGGTTATAAATTGTCATCCTTTATATTGTGATTGATCTGATCTATTCATGCACTGTCATTACTGGCCACCTCTCACAGGCCTGCGTCTGTATCACTGGCTGAGCTGCTGTATCCTATAACTAATATTACAAATGTTAGCAGCCATGTAATAGTGCTCACAGAGTACGAGGGTGGTCACGTCCCCCGCCTGTATAATAAGGGTATTACTATCCCACTGGTGGCCGATGCTGGTGAGCTATTTTCAGACACATTTGTCACTTGTAATTCTGCAGGTGCTGCTGTAAATCCTGCTCATGTTGTGCGGTTGGGGCACAGCAGATGGTGTGATTGGATTAGTGGCGGATCAGCAGCTCATTGTTTACCTGCTGCCGCCTGATCTGTCCGCGCTGGCCCAGCCTTCTGTCCCCTCCTGCTCACCGTAGCGTCCACGGTTGCTGGGCAGCGGCAGGCTTTGTATAGGCGGATATCATGGCGAAGACTCATCAGGAAGCCGTGCTGGCTGCTTCATGTGTGCAGACCCCGGTCCATCCACACACCCGGACCCCGCTCACCTTGTACGAGAGGCTGGAGGAGGACAAACTGCGCCTGCCACGAGGGGTGAGAACTTCCCGAATATCTGCACAGGCAGCCAGTTCCGTGCAATCACCATAGTTGTCAGGGCAGTCTCTGCTTCTGCGCCCGTGTCCCTCCCATCTTCAGTCACTGCTCAGCCTCTGCATACCATTGATACCAATGTCCAGGGCAGGATTTACCATAAGGCAGTGCCTACAGGTGCCCTCCATGGAGGGGCGCCATGCATGTACCTACTGTGCCTAATTCCCGGTGTTGTGTCAATATAAAACACCGGTAATAGCAAGGAGGGTGCACTCTGCACAAAATGCACCCTTCTGCTCCTAGACCAGTAGTGCGTACAGGAACTGCCAGCTTAAACAAACGCAGTGCTGCGTAAGGCTTCGCTGTAAAATGCCTGTCTGATGCTGACATGCGTTTAGGGCAGCCTTCCACGACGCCAGAGTCCTTCTCTGCATATGTGAAAGCGGGCGGTAATGCCGGCGGCTCAGGCTAAACAGATTTCCATTCGTGCCCACAGGCGACCAAAATGGAAATCCAACCCTGCCAATGAGCCGTGATTTACATATAAATAGTCATGATTTATTAATATGCAAATACATGTCATTGATGTGTAAATTCAGCTGTTCATTGATATGTAAACCCTGCCCCTTGAAGTCCTGCCCGCTGCCACAGTTAAAGTGATATTAAACCCTCCTTTTTTTTTTTTTATTCAGTAAAAACGACGACAGTTACTTATTAATCTTATTATAATGAAAACTGCCCCATTTAATTTAATTTCTGTGGGTAATATACCCTGGCCCCTCCCCTCCTCTTTACAGGTGTCTCCTTTGCCTAGCAGGTTGCAAAGGAGACACCCGTGTGTGCGCGCTCCTGGCCCGGAAAACTGAGCCAAGCTGTGCGCGTCCATTAACTACACAGTGCTTGGCAAGCCACGCCCATGCTCCCGCCTCCTTACAGTTATTTGACAGGCAGCAGCCTAAGGCTGGGCACACACCTTACAACCATCGCAAGACCTTTTGTCTTGCGATGGTTGTAAGGTACTTAAAAAAACGTACGATCTGCCCATCTTGCATAGGCAGATCGTACTTGCGATGATCGCAATGCCGAACGCGCAGGTTGCGCTTGCGCACACCGGCCCGTATGGCTATTATCGTACGGACATGCCACAAACCCGCCGAACATCGTACGATGCTCGGCGGGTTTTCGTACATGTCCGTAAGTTAAAAGTCGTGCGACCTTACAGTAGTAGAGGTCGCACGGCTTCCACACACCTTACGATAATCGTATGATCGCGGGATTTCCCACGATTATCGTAAGGTGTGTGGGGACCTTTACTCTGCTCTGTCCTCAGTGGTCTCCGGATCCCTCCTCCACAACCCAGAACTTAGGGGAAGCAGCATGATCGTCTGGGAGCCGGCAGCGGTGGTCACGGACCATAGGTAAGTGTTTGGGGGTAGGGGGACATGGAAAGGTACTGGGACGTTTTTAAAGAAGGACTCCAAGCAAAAGTGTCCTTAACCCTTGCAGTGGGGCTAGCCCTGTGCTGCAAGGGTTAAGTGCTCGTTTTTGTCTAGGTGCTAGAAAAAAAGTGATGCTTACCCGAACCGCTGAGCCTCGGCTTCTCCAGTCACTGAACCCTCTCTCCCGCTATGTTGCAGCATTGGAATCTTCCTCTGCGTCTTCACGTCTATACACTGTGTATAGAATACCAGGAACCCGTCTAAGAACAAGCCGGCTCTGATGATTTTTAAAAAAAATTTTTAAACACCTACACAAAAACGAGCACTTAACCCTTGCAGTGCGGGAGTTGCCCCCAGGCTACATTGTAATCTACTGGCTGTAGGAAGATATCCTAGCTTACAGTACCATGCGCGAGGTGCGCTGCCATGCCATTAATTTGCCATCAAATTTGCTGGAACAGTCCCACTGTTTCGATAATTGTCCTGCGATGCCAGGGTCCTGGGAACACAGGGCGCAGCTTGCTGGGGTCAGCAATAGGGTAGTACAGGGGATCCCTGTCAGTGGTGCTGCTAGTGCCAGGACAGTGTGAAGAGAAGGAGCTGGTGCACCGTCTGGGACCCAGGACCCAGGTGCTACCTGTTGCAGCTGTAGAGCCAGCACAGCCAGGGCCGCCTATAGGGGGATTAGGTAGTATGCTTGTAAGTCATCGGTCCGGCAGGGGCTGCTTTTGGGCTGCCCTAGTGCAGCATCTACTGCACAGTTCAGGGACCCCTGCATGCACTACCTCACTCTCTACACAGCACATATCTGTGTGCTTGAACAGCATGGTCATACTTTCAGTTCACACAGGCGTAACAATGGCCAACCCCCTCTGTATACAACAATGCTGGGGCTAGGCGCACACTAATGGTCTCCAAGCAACCAACCTTCTTACTCCTTCCAGCATCTTCAGCACCGCTAATTCCCAACAGTTCCCTTTCTGAATTTACCGTTATAGGGAATAAACCACGATATGATGATTAAACCAGCCGTACTCAGACAAGGCACCCAATGCAAAGATGTCAAGGTGCACCTCCCAACCCTCCTTACTTAACTGAGACAGATGGAGCTTCTACATTCGCACTAACAGTGGACAGTACGGTGCAGAGTACAGAATTGAAAGCCTCCACTGCCCGTAGGGTTACCACCGTTTGGTCCAAGGACAACTGAACAGGGTGGGGGGAGGTGTTGCAGAGTTGTTAAACCAGTATGATGTGATCTTAAACATGCCTTGTTCTATAAGTGTCTTACCTACATCACAGCTAACAAATGATCTTGCTCCCCAGGATGATGTTAGTTCATGTTCTGATGATGAAGGAGACCAGCCTTTCATGATGAAGAGTTCAAAGGATTGGGTTCTAGATATTTCAAGAACTGATCACTCAGACAAAGAGTATTACATGAAGGTGGAGAGACTGAAGGATGCTCACATGCAGAGCATGGAACAGCTGGAGAGAATGTACAAACATAAACTTAACCTTAAAGGGGTCCACAGAGGTGATCCTGTTGTCAAGAGTACTTTTCGGTATGTAGGTTTGTTATTTATTTTATTACATATACTTACAGGTGAAACTCGAATAATTAGAATATCGTGCAAAGTTCATTTATTTCACTAATGCAACTTAAAAGGTGAAACTAATATATGAGATAGACTCATTACATGCAAAGCAAGATCGTTCAAGCCGTGATTTGTCATAATTGTGATGATTATGGCTTACAGCTCATGAAAACCCCAAGAACCCCAAATCCACAACCTCAAAAAAGTAGATTATTACATGCAATCAATAAAACAAGGATTGTACATAGAACAATATCGGACCTCTGAAAAGTACAAGCATGCATATGTACTCAGTACTTGGTTTGGGCCCCTTTTGCAGCACTTACTGCAATTACGTTTGCATGATATTCTAATTATTCGAGTTTCACCTGTATATCTGTGTGCAGTTGCTCACATGTCCAGTTTTTGGATTTGTGAGATCTGCACAATGAAAAATTCTTCATAATTAAAATCTCCTCAGTGTGGTTCCTCCTATCTGGTTTAACCATTCTGAGCAGGTGGTAGCAAAAAAAAAAAAGTGATTTTCTATAGTGAAATAAGTCCCTAGAAGCAGCAATGACTGGCAACTGTTCAGCTATTCAAAATTATTGAGGAATAGAGGAAAGCTTTGCTGTGTGATGGAAGTGTCCCCAAACACCCTTTAGATGTGTTTGCTAATCATTCATCCTTGCAAGAGATTGGCAGCTTGCATGTGTAGTGGTACTCCGGGTATTGTGGTTGAAGAGAAATGCATCAATCATTACCAGCCACCAGACAGGAAATCTGGCCTGGCATAGCTGTAGAGCAGGGGTGCCCACAATTTTTGTGTTAAGATCTACTTTTCAAATGACGAGGTACATGAAATCTACTAATAAAAAGAAAACCCCCTCGCTCTCTGTCTCTCCTGGCTGTCTCTCCTTGCTCATCCTCCTGGCTGTCTCTCCTCTCTCTCCTGGCTGTCTTTCCTCGCTCTCTTTCTTCTGTCTGTCATTCCTAATTTTTTTTCTCCTGGCTGTCTCTCTTTGCTCTCTTGGCTGTCTCTCCTTGCTCTCTCTCCACTGGCTGTCTTTCCTCTCTCTCCTGCCTGTCTCACCCCACTCTCTCTCCTGGCTCACCTTGCTGTATTTTGCAACAGGCTGTGTAAACTAATATTCTTTGATGTAATACATAGCACTTCAACCACCAGTATCCACCAGAAAGGTGTCAGGGAGCTTGGCTCAGCAGACTCAGGCTAATAGGTAATCATGTGTGCACTGCTAAATAAATATACCAAAATGGAATAAAGGGGCCGCCATCACACCCTTTGTGATCTACCAGCATCAGCTTTGAGAGCTACTGGTAGATCACGATCTACCTAATGGGCACCCCTGCTGTAGAGTGTTCAATAGGACTCCCAGGGAACAGCCTGAAAAAGGCAACATTTTATATGTGTAAGTTTGCTTAATTTGCCTGCATACCGTGTTTCCCCGAAAATAAGACACTGTCTTATATTTTTTTGGGCTCAAAAAAACACACTAGGTCTTATTTTCGGGGTAGGTCTTATTTTCTTTTAATGTCCAACAATCCAAAACAAATGCAAATCCAAATTAAATAATCCAAAATGGCAAAGTTAAGAATAGGGTGATCAGGGCAATCAGGGGTGCAGTACCTTTCCAAGAGCAATTTGGTAACCAATCGCTGGCCAGAATGAGCGAAGCACACTTTCACTATCATTCCTCATAGGCGGAGTGCATTTGGTATCACTCCGCCTGTGACAGGAGCCAGCGATATAGAGGAAGCATCGGCTTATGGGGCTCTGCTCCTTCTGCTGCCCCCTCGCCTCCTCTAGCGCTGGCTTTCATGGCACCGCTGATTCTCCCCCGCGGCTCTTCAAGTTTCCCCTTATGCCACCACCGGTCCTGGGAAAGGTCACAACTAGGTCTTATTTTCGGGGTAGGTCTTATATTTTAGCAATTCCCAAAAATACTACTAGGTCTTATTATCAGGGTAGGTCTTATTTTCGGGGGAAACAGGGTATATTAAAGGAGCTATTGTATGGTTACAAGGAATGGTTTCCCTTTAATAGTGCATTTAATAATAATTTAATAATAGCCGTCCTTTTTTTTTTTCTCTGCACCCATTCCTTTGCTGCATTGGTCTTCCCATGCAGTATAGCAGCCTTGCCTTGAATACTGAAGCTCCTGTTCTCTGAGAACTATTTCTCAGAGTTTAGCCTTTATCTCAGCACTACTCAATGTTTTGTGGTCTGTCCAAACACCTGTCCTACCCAACACTTATGATACCACCACATCTGCTGACAGAACAATGAATATGGTTTCTTACATTCACCACCATTCTGTCCTTTCTTGCAGCAGCTACTGCAGCCACTTCAGCAATACAAAGGTTGATGGAAGTTTATTAGTACATTCCTGGGAATCATAAAATATTTCCAGTTACAATTTCTAAACACAATTTTCATTGACTGCTTGCATGGCATTTCTATGTTTGTGATATGTATCTAATAAAATGTATTTTAATATTTGTTTATTCATTACTGTAACTCTGGAACTTTATAGGAAACACAGCATGCACCCCCCAGTGTTCCTGATGCTCTGCTGTCATGAGAAGATTATGGAAGCTGCTGTTACTGAGCTCTCGTTTGTCAATGCTCGCTTCCTGGCTGTCATGTTAATGCTTTGGCTTCAATGCTGTCTGCGTCACTGACCTGGAACAAGTATAGAAATAAGGAGCGTTGACACTTTTGTGACAGTCATTTAAAGCCTATATCTGGGCAAACAAAAAACCTCCCCTCAAATTGGGATTACCCCCGGACTCCAAAGGGTTAACTCTTTATGCCTAGGGGGCTGGAATAAAGCAGTTTTACTTACCTTATCCCCGCTGTGACTGGCTCCAAGACTAGCACTCGCAGCCTCTTCCACCCTCCACTCTGGTGGTCAGATCCCCACTGAAGTCATCTCATCTAATGCAGGGCACGCAGACCTGCATTACATGTGATGATGCTGAGGGACAGTCCATAAGCCAGAGAGTGGAAGAAAGAGGGGTGAGCACCGACTGCAGGGGGAGTGGGGATCAGGTAAGTAATTCTGCTTTAAAGACTCCCCTAGACATAAACAAGCAGTTAACCGTTGCAGTGTGGGGGTATCCCCACTGTATGGGGAGGGTTTTTCTTTTGTGCAGATATAGACTTTAAAGCATGCTTGTTCTGGGTCTGTGATTCAAAAGTACTTAAAGGAGAACTATGAGATGAGTGATTTCCACTCACCTCATAGTTCTAGCCGACCTGTGACAATGAGACTGTCACAGGTCGGCTCAGTAGATCGGGAGGTGAGCGAACACATACCGGGTTCGCTCACCTCTCGATCCTGTCACGGCTCTCTGCCGTGA